GCGGACTTAAATTTTGCTTGTTAAGGCTTGTTATGTTAGTTAATTTAAAATAGCGTTTATTTTGGAAACTCGGTGCAGGTCTGCCAGTGTATGTGTATATTTTATATTTATTAGAGTCGTATTTAATGTAGCACTCTTTGTTCGCAACATACTCGTACAATACATTTTGATTTAAAGAGGGTGTATTAGAAAAGTTAACTCTGGATAACTGTAAATTAAAATTATATTTGGAGCTTATAGAACTATGTTTTGTATTTGAATATCAATTTGCTTTCAGCAATAAAAAAAAATTGAATGAGTATATTATTGGATATATGCAAAAGCATGTTACTTTCGTAAATTTATAAAATCAATTTACAATAAATAATAAGTGCGTTAACGACATAATCCAATGCACTCTTTACGGTTTAATAATCGTAAAAATACTGGTTTTGCACACTTTCTACGTTTTAAACAGTGGCTCTCAACTTTACTCTGAAGGGGGTGAGTGAAACCGTCGTAATATTGCTCCCCGTGGTGCGAACGAGTGTAATGCACTATAATGGGTGCGACGACTTTATCGTACACTGAAAATAGATTTAATTTACGTATTCTCTGTTATGTTTTTGGTAAAAATAGCTAGCTATGAGAGCTACATATTTAAGAGTCGAACCGAAATTAAGCCACGCTACCCACCACCTACTACTGTAATTATTTGTCGAACGTTTGTAAAATTTTATCTATCAATAAACTAACACTTTTGACAGTTTTTGTACATTTTGAAAGGTTGAGGAAAGATTTCTTTTATGTCTGAAATTACCGAATAATATTGAGAGAAAATTACCTACGTTTGTGCTTTATTGCTCTCTTCAGTAAGGGAAATAATATATTCTTACAGTACAAAGTATTCGTAATAAAAATTGATACGTAACAAAGTAATAACACTCGATGACAAATCAATTCTCTTACTGTTGTGTCAAGAAATGTTTTTCAACACATTCAGACAATTCTTAGACCAGGCGTGGCAATCATGTGAATAAGTAATTAATCATATGTAATACTATGGAGCGGTCCAAACTTTTTCACATGCAGTACAGATTGTTTTGTGAAGGTACTTATATTTACAAAGTTACTAGTACTTAAAAGCTTTTCAAAGCTAAACTGAAAATGTATTCGAAAATTTTAGGAGTGGATTCGTATCGGAGTATACAACCTTACTAAGTACTTAGACACAGTGGTGCTCAAACTTTTACACTTAAACCCAAATTAGTGCCAAAATGAAACGAAATTTTACTTTAACTATAACTATAGTTTAAAAACAGTTAACACAACAAAATTCACTCACAGCCAGTGAACAACAATAACATAACACTTCAGTCTTGCAATTAAGTGATTGTGAGTCAAACCTTGCTAAAAGTGCTCCTGATCTAACGTATCCTTCCATTCAAATTGCTTTCAATTTTCCCATTTGAATCCTAGAATGCCTGCTTTACAAAAATAGGCTTGACCCCTATTAGGTACGTACATGGGATTATAGTCAGCAAAACACATACATTTTTATACGCCTCAGGGATATTATTTACATAAACTAATGATTATGTATTATTTACATAAAATGAGGTTTTAATATTTGTGACCAATTACTATTTTTGGCAGCATAAAGTCTTCTTTGACATGGTATTTTTATATGACTGGCGGCGAGTTAAACATGGGTTACTTTTTACCTCATTACTCTGTTTTTTGTAAACCGATTTCAATTTTTTTTATTTGTATCAATATCAAAACCTAAAAAAAAATATCAGACATAGGATTCGCAGGGTAAATGCCTTTTTTTTTGCCTGTTAACCGTTTTGCCTGTTAGTACATCGGTCAAGGATCTCGGTCTGCACATCGATGCGACTCTGAACTGGCAAACTCAGGTAACTAGTGTCAGTCAGAGGGTTACGAATATTTTACGAGGATTCTATCGCCTTAAAAATTTCCTCCCAATAAAAACAAAGACGATGCTTGTGCAGAGTTTAATTTTTCCACTTATCGACTATGGTGATGTGTGTTATCTCGACTTGAATGCAGATCTGCTCAATAAATTAGACCGACTTCTCAACAATTGCATTCGATTCATTTTCAACCTGCGAAAATACGATCATATATCCGCTTGCCGTACGCAACTGTCATGGTTACCTATAAGACAGCGCCGCAGTTCGAGAGCTCTGACTGTGTTACACTCTCTTCTCCACTCATCTAACTCATCTACCTACTTGAAATCCCACTTTCAATATCTCTGCTCTAATCATGACAGAACTCTTCGCTCTTCCAACAATCTTCTCCTTCTTTGTCCTTCACATAATTCCAGTATGGTCCATTCTTCCTTCGCTGTTCAAGCTGTAGCTCTTTGGAACACACTCCCACTAGAAATCAGGATGTCCACTAACCGATACACTTTTAAGCTTAAAGTACGGAAGCTCTATAGAGACTTGTTGACGGAGTCATCAGAATAACACCCTAAGAGTATATTTATTTTCATATATATTATAATATATTACTCGTATATATTTTTTGTCATTTATTATGATATTTATATGTATAAACTATATGTATGTATATCTAGTACTTATATATCTGTAGGATTTGTTCTTTTCTGCCATTGTAACATGGCTTCATTGCCAGATGAGACTCATCTTTACCTGTCCCAAATATACACCTGCCACACACAGCTTTGCAACACCCAAAGGTTTGACTGGAAGAAAATGCCTGAGGCATTAAGTCCGCCTTATGCAATATGTTTGCAGGAAGACTCAATAAATAAATAAATAAATGCCTTTGAATGTATCATTGGTGCAGTGGTAGCGTATGTGAGTGTTTGTATGATCTGCAAATATTTGTTTCGGAGTTTGGGTGTGTAATATGCATGTATTTACAAAAAAGTACACAAGTATTTTATCAGTCAATCTAGCTTTCATATTAAAAGTTCTGCTTAGTTTGAAACTAGATGGCGTTGTGTGTCAGATATCTGAAATATTATTATTATAAAAAATGCGTTAGTCAGTTGTACTTGGGACCATGTTAGGACTATGTTGAATTTCCAGCCAATTCTCCACGACATCTACAGATCAAGAGTGTCTTTGCTTATTTATTTTGTTTTTTAGTGAACAAAAATATATATAATAAAATAATAATAAAAACATGGTATTTACCTAAGTGTAGAACGAGTACCATTAAATGAATCATTTAATAATAAAATGATTAAATTATATATGCATCGAGTAAAGCAGAAATTGATTCATTAATATTCATTAAATACTGTAATTACTCGTATAACGTTAATGATTTAGATTTAAAAGTCAACATAAGGATAAGTTATTATCCCTAGATTATATTTTAGTATTTTAATCGTTAATTTGTTAAACGTTTATTCCATTATCTCATAAGTTAAAAGGACATGAGTTGAAGAAAGACGATAGTATTGTGAATTCTGTGAATGTAATTATATATTGATGGTAATGAGGTTTGAGAACCAGATCCTAATAATCTGATTTGGTGATAATCTTTTTGGTTGAGTGTGTTTTTACTCATTACTAGCTTTACCCCGTAGTTTTAGCTGTATTTTTCTCTTCTAAAGATGACAGTTTTATAGGGGTTCCAGGCAGTTTTAGTAGGTGATCTTGTAGTCGAATTATTGCTTACAGTCGTCAATACACACACAGATACGAGCAATATCCATTACATTTCATTTTCTTTTCTTCTTAGACATTTTCATTAGATTAGTTTATTTTTCAAAAATAAATCTTCAACTTTATTCCATTAAAATAGATTTAGAATTATGTTAACTTTTAAATCAGTCCCGATTGGTGAAAATTACTTTGTTTATTTATACATACTTTTAGATGTGAAAGTTAGTTTGTTTGTTACACTGTCACGCTTAAACTTCTAACTCGATTTTAAAAATTCTTTAACCAAGAGAAACCTCATTATCAGCGAGTGACATAGGTTACTAATTACCGCAATAACCAACATACAAGCGGCTGAAACCGCGGGCAAAAGCTAGTACCTAATAACTATGATTATTAAAACTAACATTGTTTTAATAATGTATTTATTAAATACCTACTCTATTATTCTATCCATTATGTTCATTTTATTTGGACGTAAATATTACTGTACTTCATCGCCTCAGTTAGCAAACAAACGGCTAAAGCGCTCCGTTATCACAAAGCGCATGAATCAAAGCTGACAGGGTCTATCAGCTAGCGAAACAGTAGCTTTTTGTTTCTATACAACCTTTAGATTGCTACAGAAGTAACTGATCACCTGGTATAAGGTGTGTTTACGTTCACTTACTCGCCTAAGACTTTGTTTTATTTGAATGCAATTGCTACAACGAATATACATACAACCTAATATTATATACATAACAGCAATAAGAGTAAGTAAGCTCCCGCTAGAAATAAAGAAATTAGATGGAAACGTGTTAGAGAACGCTCTAAAAAAAATGGTAAATCAAGAATGTGTTCTATAATTTGGAAGAGTATTTTCTCACAAAACAATTTGCATGCCTGTTAAATGCATTGTAATCTTCAATTTTTATTTTATTGTGTACTTTACAATTACATAGCCCAATTGGGTAACTATTGAAACTTTACCTACTACAAAACATTTATAGGTGTATGTAACACAAGTTTTGCAATAAATGTCTTTGTCTTTGTCATAAATTACTGAATAAACATTTTGCCGTGTTTGAGTCATTCTTTGGCACAAATTAGTCGGCTTGACCGTAGTGATACCACGGCCTTACAGACAACCACCAACACAAGTTTTTTTTCTTGTTTTTCACCTAGTAAGTAAGGTTACTGGAACCCAAACCCCCTTTCCTTGGGGAGAGAGGGCGGCAACACACTTGTGACTTTTGGGTTGCAAGGGAGGGGGGGGGGGGGGGCTAAGCATCAGCTAACTCGTCCCCTCGTTTGTCCCTATACCATCAAAATATATACTAAGGAGGACAAAACTGCAAGAAGTTGACTTACCGATCTCTTTTGATGATGATGATGCTCTAGTTTCATATTGGCGCATCTGTTCAGAGCGGTCAGCCGCCTGAACAGTGACTGTAGACTGTCTGCGTCTAGGAAAGGGTGGTCGTTCTGGACGCCCGACACGTCTATTGGAAACTGGAGATCTGTAACAAGGAAATATGAGATTGAGTACTGTAGTTTGAGACTGACTGTAGTAAGTTGTAGACCTTCCTTAACCGGTCCTTAAACAAACCCTATATTTTTTAGGTTTACCTAAAGTACAATAAATACACATATACAATATATGTACAATACACAATAAATTTTATTATTCGATCGAGAAAGGCAAAAGTAAAGAGTGCATGAATCTATACTATATAATATTATAAAGCTGAAGACTTTGTTTGTTTGAACGCGCTAATCTCAGGAACTACTGGTCCGATTTGAAAAATTATTTCAGTGTTAGATAGCCCATTTATCGAGGAAGGCTATTACGCTAAGATTAATGGGAGCGGAGGAAAAACGGGGAAAATCTATTCCTCTTAAAAGACGCAGGCAAAGTTGCGCGAGTCACCTAGTTTATGTTATTTGTGGTTTGAGAGTTACTAATTTTTTTGTTAAAAGTTACTTTTGTTCCTAAAAAAGTTGTGGACATACTCAAATACTTACTATAAGAACATTAATTTGTTTTGAAAGTGTCATAACCAATGTTGATCTGATCTTACTGTGAAGATTAATGTACTTGTGCCGAGCCAAATATATGTTAGAGAATTCTAAGAATTTTAGTAAGTTTTAGTACTGGTCGAATTAGGAACAATCTAGAATATCTTATAACACTATTAGGGTATAGATAGTATGATACCTGATTTATCAAATAAACACAATAACAAAAACCTTTGGTAAAGGAATGTAGCTTATGTTGCTAATTTAACTTCCATACAAATTACAATTTCAACATGATTAAATTTATTCTTATACATCACAAAACAAAAATACACCCTGTTAATTCAGTATTAAAGGAAACGTCACTCACGCTGACGCTATCTCACAATCAAGGTACTTCATTATGCCCTCCTCAATTTCTAAACAAATCCACAGCCAAGTGAAGATGATCAAACAATAGGATGTGACGTAGGTACGACATGTAATAGTGAACAAGCAGTCCTACACGACACAACGAATTTAGGCCTTCGTAGCGTCAATTGCTTGTGACGAAAGTATGAATGACGCTTATTGACATATGACAATTGAAAGTCACAGAGTCAGCGAGTTAGATGAAGAATAAACAGTGACAGGTAATAACAGTTCAAAGTTGAATTTGTTTATTGGAATCATTTTATTATTCCCATAATTATATTTCCTTTATAGAAGACTGTGTATAAACAATAGCATTGTTTTCTATGTTTGGTTAAGAATAATTGCGTGAAGAAGTAATCACCGAACCTAACCGAACTTGCTACCAAATCACTAAACATATATTCTCAATTAAAGAAACATCTTCTGATGAGAATACTTATAGATATTATAAGTAACTGTTTGAAAATAATAATTGACAATTGTATGTGTTCAGTTTTTTTATTAACTGTGTGGATTTTAAACCGTCGTAATTTTAGTTGGTAGAACATAAATGCTTGACTATTAAATACGACGAAAAAAGTTAGTTTTAATCGATATCAATCCAATTAGAAGCACATTTGTTGATTGTAGATTCATGAAATAATATTAGATATCATTAATGCTTATTATCGTTTTAAAGTATAAGCAACTGTTGACTATATAACGGACATATACATCTACATATACACATACATATCTACAGCGTGTAAAGAAGTAAGCCCATTGGTAGGGATATTTCGAAACGCTAACCATTTCTTTTTTCTATTGAGTAGCCTACATCTACTTAATTTAAAGAAAATACTACACAAAGGTTGGCGCATTGAGTTAGATTTTTTTTTTAATAATTTTAACATATTTGATAATTATAACATTTTAATATGATGTCGTTAGAGCCGACTGAGGGAGCAAACTAAGCAGGACAACAGCACTGCAAAGAAAAGGAAAACTTGACACAAACGCTATAGCTACCAGACCAGTGTGGTGTACTAGGCCAAAATCTCTTTTATAAGAAGACGCCTGTGACCAGTAGTGGACTAGTAAAGGTTGTTGATGATATAATAATAACGTTCTACCACATTCACACAACGCTATCTAGTTCCAAACTAAGCAGAGCTTGTACTATGGGTACTAGACAACTGGTATAAATACATATTATACATAGAAACACCCAGACCAAATCAAACAATAAAGGTTCATGCACACAAATATTTTACTTGAGCTGGAATCGAACCAGCGACCTTTGGAATAGTCCGTTATCAGTCCGCCATCCGGTCGTCTTTCAGATGATGATTATGATGATAATATATTTCATTTCTATCTCCGTTATTGCTTATTGCTATTCGGCAATACCAAATACCATTTGACGGTTCAGTAAACACCTGATCCTGAGTGACATTAAAATTTAAAACTACCCGCAAAATGCTCAGTCAATAGCATTGTCACAGAAATAGAAGGGAGGTATCGAAGCGGGACCGGGAAAACGTTTTCAATAATAAGTGTTAGATACCGACGACGCGACGTATGAAGAAAACAAAGGAATTTCTACTGTAGAAATGTGCTTTTTATTTGACAACGGGAACTGTGAACAATATTCTTTTATTTTCGGTTTATTTTAAGTACTATCCACCCTCCCGCCGACTCGAGCGGGAGGGACTCCAAGGGCGGCAACGCACTTGTGACTTTTGAACTGCGGGTGACCATGGGCGGCGGTGGTTGCCTGCCATCAGGTGACTCGTCTGCTCGTTTGGCCCCTTATACCTTAAAAAATACTAGGAAATTATTCGTTTTATTTATATGTAGGTATATATAAGTCTTCTGTTCGTGTGTATGTCACTGAATTCCTCCGAACTGACTGGACCGAATTTGATGAATTTTTGTTTGTGTGTTCAAGGTGAATAGCTTAGATTCACAATTCGTTTAACTACGAAATGTTTTTTTTTATAATAGTATTTTTTTTATTTTTGTGTACAGGACAACGTCTGCCGGGTGCTAGTCTGTAAGTACAATGTAAGATTTTAGATAGTCTCAACGCGTTTAAAATTGTCCTTTTTGCCGGTTTTTATTAACATTAAATGTGGCAATTGAACATATTACTATAATATCTACGAAATAAATTTTTGTATATATATAATTTATTATCTGTGAAGTGACGGATTAAGAATACGGAGTGTCACGACCCCTATTCATTCCGCGGGTGTCGATGATGATATGTGGTTCTAATCGCAATACTATAATTTGCCATCTTGGACTTGGCACTTCTTGAAAAGAATGAAAGATTTGCTTAGCACTGGTTTGAAGTTGAGCCGGGCACGTTCCTGCTGAAACACGGCTCTCTTACGTCTCCATAATTCGAGATATCCTTAACTTTCGAACACAAAGTTACCGCAATTTTAATATAATAACTGTTAATACAATTATTTAAATCATACACATGACTTCTCTTAAAGTAAATGTAATGCGTTAGTAACAGTAAACAATATCATATAATAAAAGGACACAAAATAATGAAAGAAAACATATTCCATTCAAAGTTATCACGGACGTGGAACTAGGCCGGTTGTCACGAAGAGTTCTCTGTATCAGTCTGTACTCCTATGACGTAGTGTCCGGTCCGCAGAGTCGGGGCCCGGAAGTGGGTAGGATGCAGTCAGGCGTTAGATGTCAAACATGTAGGTCGTGTTTGAAAATAATAATTGACAATTGTATGTGTTCAGAAGATTTTAAACCGTCGTAATTTTAGTTCGTAGAAAATAAGTGATTGACTATTAAATACTACAAATAAGTGTTTTTTTATCGATGTTGATCCAATTAGAATCAGATTTGTTGATTGTAGATTCATGTAATATTATTACATATCATTAATGCTTCTTGCTGCTCGTTTTAAATTCAATTAATCGATATTGATACTACCATCTACGTTTGAGTAATGTTTTAAACATATTATGAAGAGTTTTGTTTTAGATTTAGTATTCTGGATAGACAAAAGTCTATCCCTTGTCTTATATTGGCATATAAATAATTAATATTGGTATGTAACACAGGTTTTCAACTAAAACCTATACTGGTATCAGTACCAGTCTCTTATATAGGTGAAATAAAAGAGAATGCCGTAGATTATGTCTTTAATTATTTATAAGACCTTGTGAAGAGAAAATAAAAATATAAATTTGTTAAATAAAATTTTAATAATAAAATTTTTAGGTTAACAGAAAGAGAGGCCTGTGTCCAGCAGTGGACTGTTATAGGCTGTGGTGGTGGTGGTGGTAACAGAAAACTTTTACATAGAGTATTAAAGAACATATACATATCATGATCATCATCAACAGCCGCTAATATTCCAATGTTAGACATAGGCCTCTCCTTAGGAAAGAGGTTTTGGCCTACTATACCACGTTAGCCAGACGGGTTCGTACAGGTTTTGTTTCAGGATTTCCTTCTCTTTGCAGTGCTGTTGTCCTGCAGAGTTGGCTCCCTTAGTCGGCTTTAATGACACCCACGGGATGAATAGGGGTGGTGACACTCTGTATTCTTAATACGTCACCACCCGGACCTATACATAACTTTTAACAAATATAAACATATTTTGTATAAATTACATTCAGAACATGTGATCGTGCTCATGTCAAACAAAAATCTAACTTAGAACTTTTGGCTAAGGATTCAGATTCACTAACCACTAATCAACAGGCCCGCCAAATTGCTCAATAAATACGTGTAACAGTAAATACTACGTAAAAGTCCGTAAATTGCCCTTGGCCGTAATAGAAATAGATGATTTCAAGTGAATATTGGGTTAATAGCGAAAGATAAAAACACTTGAATGTATTTTGGTCTACCTTTTATTGAATGTTCCATAAATTGTACCTTATCGTGCAGTTCTACGAGTGCGTTGGATTCTTTGGCTGCGTCAAGACCATTTGGATATCATAAGTAGTGTTTGAGTACAAATTTACCGTCGCAAATATTTGCCAACACACGGTCTCGCAACGTTTACTATAAACAGATAAATGTGTATTTGTTACGTTATCGTGTGTTTTTTTCTACTTAT